ACTTTAGGTTTTACGCAGCAGTTCCTCTCCTATCTCATCTGATCCTCTCAACCACCCAGTGAAGCAGGAAGTATTAGTCCCCTTTTTCAGATAAGGAAATGAAGAGTCAGAGAAGTTAAGTGACTTGCCCAAATTTATGCAGCTACTAAGTGCCACGGAGAAGACCCAAATCCAGGTCTGCTTCAGACCCTGGTTTGTCTCCAGTAATGCGGCCTTGCCTTATAAAGTCAGGCCCCAAAGAAATGCGAGCAGGAAAGAGGGTACCTGGGTGGTCTGTGTTCCAAATGGACATAGCATTTTAGATGCAAAGAACCCAAATGACTCTGCCCTATTAGGGATCAGGCCCCACAAGACTGTCCTTGCCATAAAAGTCCGCTACTATTTCATCCACTAGCTGTACTCTGAAAACCTCTAACTCACACATGACACATATGACTTCTGCCGGCACAGGACAGTAAACTGGGGCTGTGGCAACATCAGGCCTGGCTCTGCCACATACTAGTTATGAACCCATGGCAAGTTCTGAACCTCAGTTTTCTCTCAAATAAAATGAGAACATGAATAACACCAACTTAGATGTTGCCCGTAGCTCAGTGGGTAGGACACCGGCCACATACACCGAGGCTGGAGGTTTGAACCCAGCCTGGGCCAGCTAAGACAGCAATGACAACTGCAACAACAAAAAGAAAAGATAGCCAGGTATTATGGCAAGTGCCTGTAGTCTCAGCTACTTGGGAGGCTGAGGCAAAACAATCACTTGAGCCCAAGAGTCTGAGGGTGCTGTGAGCTGTGACTCCACAGCACTCTACCAGGGGTAACAAAGTGAGACTCTGTCTCAAAACAAACAAACAAAAAAAAAGAACAGCAGAATAGCTCCAACCTCTTAGTACTTCTCAAACAGTCAAACAAGATAATACACTAAAACCCTTAGCACAGTACCCACCATGCATGACGCTACCTATTAATTATACTACCATCAGTGGCATTATGTTGGAAGGGAAATAAACAGAAACTGCCTCCTGTCCTCAAAATAATTCCCTCCACCAAGAACTGAATGAACTAAGAAGTGACTACTGATGATATTCTGGCTAAATCTAGGCCTACAGTCATTTAGCAGCTCTGCCTCGGCCTCAACCCCAGGCAAAAATTACTTTCAGGAGCTAAATAACCCCTTTACTGACCAAAATTGCTCATTTGGGAGCCAGGATTCTCTGGGCATAGGAAAGCCTGGGTATTCCATGGTTATCTTTATCATGGGTCTGAACTTGAAGTCAGCTCTAAGTCACAGGCTAACCATAAACCAAAGCACTCTGTTTTCTTAAACTGCCTGCAAACAAAACATAATCATTTGGTGTTTCTGTTGTTGTTCCGAAGACAAACAAAAAATACCATATTTAAAGTCACTCCTGTAAGAATCTAACAAGTAGTTTAAAGAGGAGTCAAAACATATTTTGTACTCTGGGTAAAGCAGGCAAATAATCAGCTTAAGGATTAGCTATAATAACAGATAATAAACACAAACAGTTATTATTCACCCGAAAACAAGAAAGCAAAGAAAAAGCAAATCCAAAACACTACAAGACCAACAAAATAGCTATTAGTCACCAGCTTTTTTCATTTCCCACATCAAACTGATTTCTTGAAGAATCAGTCAGGAGTACAGTGCTCCAAAGGAGGCGAGGGAAAAACTGCTTTGTCACATTGCCTAACACACACACATAAACCAAACCTAGTGTGCAAGATGCTATGAGAAAGGGTGGAGTCAGACATTGTCCAGCAAAGTCCTCATGTTGGAATCATCTCTGACCGTCCTTCCTGTCTTGGAGGAGAGGAATGAGATGCCAGGTTCAAAAATTGCTTTTCCCGGCCTACTAAGTACTAAGTCTTCCGGCATCTCAGCTTTCCAGCTTCCACACCCGTTCTCATTAATGTCCAAACAGAGCTTCGTCTTTTCCATGATTTGTCCATGTTTTTAACCTACTACAGTGGATTCCAGCTTAAAACAAACACATATACACATACACGTAATCCAAGCCTCACAAAACAAATCAATCATTAGGGAGATAGTCTAATACCTTTCTAAACAAACTTCAGAAATATCTAAAATATGATCCGACTTTGAAAAGCTCAATTTATAGCCACAGTTTTGGAAATCCACAATAATGTAGCACCGTGCCTATGGTTAAAAGTTATATCAGAAGGCCGGGCACAGTGGCTCACACCTGTAATCCTAGCCCTTTGGGAGGCCGAGTCAGGTGGGCAGCTTGAGCTCAAGAGCTCAAGACCAACCTGAGCAAGAGTGAGACCCCGTCTCTACTAAAAATAGAAAAACTGAGACAGGAAGATCCCAT